GGGGCTGCAAAAGCTCTGGCAGGGTTACACAAGCCCGTGCGGTCCCAAGAAAGGCAGCTCCATCTCTGCCCCTGCCACTCGTGCCCCCACAGCCCCAGCACTGCAGAGCCCCGCTTCCCCTGCACAGCCAACAACCCAGCGTGCAGCCTTGAACTTGCTGCACCGTCAACAACCGGACAGGAGACGCGGCAGCGGTCTGGCAACAGGGGCTGCCAAGAAGAAATTTAATTATTCTTTTCCTGATAGAGCTGCAGCGCCAGCACAGAGCAATAAAGGGGGAAGGACGCGGTCAAGCAATATAAATTGCTGCTTCTTCCTGCTGTGAGGTGGGAGAGGCCGTTAGCACCTCCATCCCGTAGCTTCACCTTGGACCACCCCACCAAGCCCTGGAGTTTAGGGGATGCTTTGCTGCCTGCTCCTCACGGAGATCAGCGGCACAACAGCCACGCTGCTCCAAGCCCTAGCACAGCACCTTTATAAACTGAAACAGGGCTTGGGGTTTTTGGGGTGTAGAGAGGGTACATTGTCCCTGGCTGTGCCCTCACGGCAAGGGAGGGTCAGCGACACCCGGCCAGGCTCACCCTCGGCCGCAGGATGCTGGGCAGTCAGGACTGCCATGTTGTTACGGCATGAGGACCTGTTTGCACAGCTTTTTCTTGGACGCCTGCCGACCCCAGTAATTCTAGATTTACCATCAACTGCGTGGGCCCAACCTGTCAGCATAAGTCCCCGTGCTGGCACAGGAGCCCCCGGGGCTGAGGGATCTTTGCTGCTGCCTTTGTGCGAGGAGTGGGGCTTTGCAGCAGAGGCACCAGTGCAAGACACCTCACCAGACCAGCGCACATCAAACCCAACCGGTCCTGACCAGGGCACAGCCCTGCCCGGGGAGCCCAAGCACTGCAGCAAGAGGCGAGGGTGGCTGCTGCCTTCGCTATCTCCCTTACCAGCCCAATTATTTTTTTCTTTGAGAGTAACGTGCTGTTGGCAGCCCACCATGAACAGCCCTGACACAGTCAGGTGCAAAGCCTGGGGAGGTGCCTGCCTGCAAATAAACATTTTGCCGTTATTTCGGAGCTCTTCTTCTGCCTCAGCTCTGGGCTCAGGAAGCTGCTAGACAACCAGTGGAAGGCGCTGGGGCAGGAGACGGGAGTCACACTGTTACTCTGCAGATTTTAAAATCCAAGAGTCATCTCACTGTCTCCTCTCTGTCATCCTTTCAATAACGTCAGGCCAGAACAAGTTGGAGCATTTCTCTTCCAGAAAGCAGGACAGATAGTCCTGGAGAAGAGCATTGCACAGGGAGGCTCCAGCAGAGGTGGGGACCGGGTTCACACACTTCCCCTTCCCCTAAAACTTACAGAAGCAGGCTGGAGGCCAAACTGGCAGGAATTGCACTCTATGGGAACCGAGGTCTGGAAACACCGCCTTGCCAAGGTCAGGGGACAGCCATGTCCTGCTGACAACTACACCAAAGGTTGTGTTTGTACTGGTTCAAGTAAATGAAACAAGTAAACAGCTGGGAAATGTGGAAACTATGTGAGCCACCGCCAGCTCTGCAGAGCTTTATCAAGCAAGTGGGTTTTATTTAGAAGAAATGCAATTGCACAGGGTCCAGGACAAATGGTATCGAAACGTTCCTGATCTCAGGTTTAGGGTTGCTTTCAACCAGAACACAGAATTGTGAACATATGGCTCAGGCAGTAACATAATCCTGCGCTCCCATGTAACGCATCATGTGCTAACGTGAGACACACATTTATCACAGCAGCTTTGGAGCTCCACAGACAAATTAACACTGGGCCTGGTAGCCCCAGGAGCTGGGCTGTACATGCAGACAGGCCAGCTTCTGCCTACCTTGTGCCACTCCATGTACCAAAAAGCCCCTCTCGTACCTAGGCTGGGGCATAAATTTGCTTCCAGCTTTTCCAGGAGCTTTCTGCCCTCAGCAGTATCATTCCTGATCTAGACCCAGCAAAGGCACCTCTGTCCCCTTGCCTGCAGTGAAGATGCCCTGACCATTTTGCCCCAGCAAACGTGCTGGCTGCTCATGGTCTCTGCTCACCCATGCCATGCCAAGAGCCCACGTCAGCCAGACCATCTCCTACAACCTTCCCACAGGAGCAGCCCACCCAGGGGCTTGTGCACAAGAGCCCCAAAAGCCACCCATCTGTGGCAGAGTGGGGCCCCACACTGGTAGCAGCTGTGCTGGGACCACCAGATCATTATCCCAGAGTGGAGCAAATGTCCATGGAGACTTCAGAGCTCTGCTGTCCTGGGGAAGATGCATTTAGTATCCTACTGCTGCTCCCCTAAGCAGTCCTGTCCCCTCTTACAGAAGGTAGACAGAACAGACATTTGTTTTTCTTTGTTAAAAAAAACAAAGAAAACAAACAAACAAACAAAAAACGCACCATCTTCTAAAGCCTGGTTGGCAACAGATCATGGTTTTGGAGATGTTTATCTCCTTAATAACCTGTTCACCTTCCAGCTGCACCACATCCCCACAGCTTAACTTCCCAGAGCTTCCAAGTATATTAACCCTGGCATGTCTTTGCTGTCTGGAAAACAGGCAAGTCATGAAACTGAGGACACACTGGGTATATGGATAAACCATGACTCCTTCCTTGCCCTTCCTTGGGGCCTTTATTTTCGTGCACGCTGCATAGCTTCCCCGTGCAAGCTGCACAGCAGCTGTCAAGCACACAGTAGGGATTCACACCAGTGATATAACCATGCTACAGCAACATAAAACTCAGCATTCAGGGTAAGCACTCATCAAACTAACCACTAAAACCGTTAAGTGCTGTACCTTTGTGCTTCTTTTCACAGTGGTGTGGCTAACAGCAGCACGCCAAGCTGGTTTAGCTTGGAAGTTATTTGAACACAGTTTCTTTGGCTGTACCTTTACACCAGATTACAGTGTCTCGGAGCTGACAGCCTGGTCAAGCACGTCCTGTTTAACCGCAGGAGAATCTCGCGCCCTGAGGACGTGCACTGATTCAAACCCCATTTCAGCTTCACTGTGGGGCCATGGAATGGGATTTAGAAAACAGAGGAAAAGTATGGACAGACTGGAACTACTCTTTAGCCCAGGCTGATATCCACATGCAGAGGATGTTCTGCTGGAGAGAAGCAGGTGAGAAGAGAGAGTGCAAGCTGCTGGGGAGAGGGGTAAGTGCAGTTACCCCTTAAATAGCCTAGAGGACCCTCAATAAAAATAAGAGCTCAAGAAGAATCCAGCAATACTTCCAGAAACTAATCCCCCTTTAAGCAAGGTGTCCCTCTCCCACCAGCCCTGGCAGGGGGCTGTCTAATGTAGCTCCCTGATGGATTTGGCTACAGCTTGAGGGCAGCTGGCCAGACCAGTGGCCTTCTCGAGTATCAGGGTATTTGGCACGAAGACCCACTGGAATTAAACCCTAACATTTACCTGACCACTGAGGTGCCAGTTAGCCACTTGGCCCCAGCGAGCATCTGCTGCTTTTCAAAAGCCGCTCCTCAGCCCTTGGACAACCATGCCTTCCACCTTACAAAGACCTCAAATGTTTGGGGCCCGCCAGCTTCCATGCCCCTCAAGTCATGCTGAGAACATGCTGTGGAGCAGTCACAGGGCTGTCCCAGCCAGCAGTCAGGGTCAGGGCTATGGCTGCACCCTGCAGCAGGGCAAGATTTGGGCTGGAAAGGGTACAGACCTAAGAAGTGCCACCCCATAAAAGCTATTGCATTAAGACAACACCCTGGTTCTCCCCTCGGTTCCTGTCTCCCATCGCCCCTGGGCTGGTTCCTCCCGGTTCGGTTGAGCTATATACCACAAGGCAACATTGCAGTGGTTTGCACAAAATGAAACGGAAGCACTCAAAGGGAGCTGAAGCATAGCTGATAAGCAAAGCACTTAGCACAGGATATGTGTTAATATCTCTGGGGAGTATGTTTGAAATGTGATAAACCACCAAGGAAGAACTTCAAGCACGGTCTCTGAAAACAACCAGGGAAACTGTACTTAAACTTTACAGATTATTCTGCCACTTAGGAAAGAAGATGAGGCTGAAGGTGTTAACCCTCTGCCCTACGCACAGCTGCATACTCTACGGAAATATGGAAGGAAAAGAGCAATTGCTTTTTGACCCTCCATCAGTTTTGTTTTTCCTCAGCAGACTGAGTACACAGAGTCCCCACATTGCCAGGCACTGGATACACCTGCCTATTTCAGCTCAGAACTTGGCATCCCCTGGTCTGTCACCTGAGTTACTATTCTCAGCATTCCTCTACGCAATATCGTGTGGCTTGCTATAAATACTAGGGAATACCCCTAAAAAAGGGTCCCCATTAATCCAAAACGTGAAGCAATGCTCAGGACTGCACCTCAAGGTCACCGGCATGCTGCTCTGTACAACAAACATTTGCAAAAACAAAGGAAAGAAATCATTTGCAGACCAGTTTTGCTGGGAGGGCTGGCAGTAACGCGTGGAGAGCTGTACTCTCCCATTGCCAGGCTGGGGCACGTGCAAGTCTCATACTCTATAATTCAAAAATTAGTCTGTTGATAAAATGGAAGCTTCTTTATTTAGAACAAGAACAGCTCCAAGTTCCTCAGGCGGCTGCCAAAAACATTCCCTACGGTCCTATCGTCACCATGTCTGAGCACATCCCCATCATTATTAAATCTTCACAGTTCCCCAGGGGAGTAGGGACGTGCTATTACAAAACACACTGCTCCAGCCCTGCAAATGCTTCCCCCAGGGCTTGCTTTTGCACTTAATACAGAGCTCAGCTAAGGCTAACAAGGCTCCCAGTGTGCACAGCACCACTGCCTAAAGTAAGGCTGAGCACTTAGGCAGAGTTTAAGCAGTGAAGTCCAAACCTTTCAAAACTAACCAAATCAGCTAAAGCAAAAGAGTCCTGTTCAGCAGCTAACTCATTCCGCAGCTGTTGTAAGCTTTGACCTTTGAGACTCCTCAGTTACGTTCCCAGCTATGCACAGGTCTGCTCCCACCTCAATAGCTGGATGCCATTCTCATGCCCAGGTGCCCCCAAGAGCCAAATGTGAGCCTTTCTCCTGCTGCAGAGGATTGACCCCCCGGGGGCAGGCACTACAGTACCCCACTGCAGCTGTCCCGTGGAGCAGGGCTCCCTGTGGGACGCAGAAGCAGACGCTGTGCTATAACATGTTGGTGGCAGCACTCCAACTGCAGCATCTGCTTAAGAAAACACCTCAGCATTTTATATTACAGCACAGCATCAAATCCATGGGTCCTTCTGCCAGAGAACATCCCCCTGAGGAAGATGGGAAAGAAAACAAAAGATACAGCTAAGAGTATAATGAAAGAATGCTATAGCATTGGTCAGGCTTGTGGGCTGAAGTTAAAAACTAAATGTCTTCTTACATTTTAATTGAATGGATTTTTCTTAAGATATTTAAAAATGATACCACAGAATTCAGATTTTACTCAGAAAGGTACCTTGCATAATGCATATCTGCATCAAAGATAAATAATAATAATAATAAAAAAGCAAATCCTAAGTAGTTATATGCCATGCAAGAAGCCTCATGCTTGTGCCTTGTCCTGGGAGGCTAAGCGTGAAGTTGAACAGCATGCGGTGACTTTCCTCCCCAGTTTAGAAGAGACTTTACGTTCCCAACCAAGTCTGACGAGCACCACTGTCCCCTGGCTCCTGGTGTGCGGCAGCTAGGTTTGATGCTCACGGGAGCTTCACCCCAAACCTGACAATCTTTCCCCAGGCAAGTCGACCCCTTGGGCTACGTCTCATCAAGAGATGCAATGGTATTGCCATTGTATGTTGTGATGTAAGGTTGTAAATACATGCTGGACACACACACAAACACAGCTGGCTTCTATGAACCAGATAAGCTTTGAAAAATCCTGAAGAGTTTTCAGTTGCCTGTCATTGGAGGACTAGAGGAGATCAGTCATGGATGGGAAGACACAACACATCTACATGCCATGGGGGACATGCAAAACATGCTCTCAAGATTGCCGTCGGTGTTAATGGGAAGGAAAAGTTAACATTTTCCTATCACTGGTGAGGATCAGCCCGTTTGATCTACAAGACAAACACAGAGAAGAGGGAGTAACCACAAACTTCCCACCAGAGCAGAGCAAGCCATCTGGGTTTAGACACTGGGCTTCCACATGCTCCCCTCTGCTATGGGTTTCCCCTGCTCGTGCAGTAACTGCCGTAGCAAGCTTGCTGTAAGGAGAAGCATCATTCCCCATTTTCACCTAGTCTTCCTCAAATAACAGCTAAGCCCCAGCCTTCCTACAGCAGCAGATACAAAAGCACTTACCATCTAATGCATTTTACAAAATAGATGAGGCCACCACCACCACTGCACTCCCAGCACCAGTCCCCCACACTGGTTATAAGCCCATTTGCCATCATTAGTTACAGCTGCAAATCGCCGAGGCTTAAGACAGCATTCAAATGAGTTATTCTGCTGCTGCAGGAGCCTGTTAGCAAAACCCTCCTCCCCATTTACCAGGCATTGCACACACGGGGCTTCTCCCACAACACCCGGCAGCACGTCTGCTTTACCTGTGTGCCTGTGGAAAGCCATGATTAGCAGCCCAAAGTCACCAGCAGCCCCTTAGGTAACAGAGTTCACAGTCTCTTGGCCGATTAGGAGCTGCCCCATTTGATAACATACATTTAAACGGAGGCTATTAATATGGACGGGACTCCTACCAGATGTCCACTCCCCTCCCCAGAGATCACAACCTTAATCCCCCTTGAAAATTCTTACCATTTTAGGTGATCCGAGGGAGAAGAATAGGATCCAGAGACTGCTAGGTCTCTGTAGGCAACATGTAAATACCTGCCCGGCTACTCAGCACCCAAATTAGTCCCAAAGGCAGAGTGTGCCTCAGGAACTTGACCCCATGCTAGTACTATTTGGCCTTGGCTTTAGAGCTAGATTGTGTCTCATAACAGTCCTGAGCTAAATTACAGACTCAACGTTAATTCTACACTGCCGTTGCTGAAGGGAAGAGGTGGATCACAGCCCCACGGGGGCCGGAGGGGCTGCGGTCCCAGGAACCAGCAAGAGGCTGTCCCTTGGTTGTAGGGCCCAGAAAGGATGTGGGTTGTACCCCTGGGGACCCAGCTGACAGCCCACAGAAGTACCAGAAGATACATTCATGGGTGGGTTGGACTTGCTTTCAACATGAGGGTCATGCTGAAGTTTTACTGCCAGTAAAACTACCGTACCTGGTCCTCTTCCAGCTTTTAACCTAAGGAAGCTCAAGGCACTAACTGTTCAAAGTGAGCACCTCCCTGAACAGCAGCACTTAGAAAGCCAGGTCTCATGATTATGGGGCTTCTGTAGCATCTAACACTACGGCTGGGCTTGTGGCTTACAGAGGGCACTGGCTCGTGTCTCTGTCCTCTTTACTCAGGTATTCACGAAGCTCCTTGGGAGACCCCCGCTCTGTGGCTCCAACTGACTGATCTCCACCCAAGTCACAACACGGAGCACAGGGACCTCTGGTTCAGGGCTCGCTCCCACAGGGATACACGGGCTACGGCAGCTCCACGGCCACACGCTCACTCCGGCTTATGCAATTGGCGTCGGTGCAGGCTCAGGGCTGGGGGCCAGGGCCGCCCAGCTGCTAATCCTGCCTCGACACTGACTCACTGCATGGCCGTGGGAAAGGCAGTTAACCTCCCTGACAGCCACTGGGAAGAGCCAATGTTTATCATTCCTTCCAGGGAGCCCATCATGGTGGTGTCTGGCCTTCAAACAGCAATTCGCATCTCCAGCCCGAGTGGCCCTGCTACAGCCAGGAAGTGGGAACATCTCTGCTTCCCACTTGCAGAGGTCCCAAGAGCTCCTCGACTGCTCATGGCAGGGCGCACACAGCCCCTGGCCCCGGCATCGGGCTTGGTCACCCCCTGGGCCTTCACACCCATCTTACGGCCCCCAGGTAGCACACATGCAAGGTGAACATCTCACCAGCATCACGACATCTCCAACTTTCCAACATGGCCTGGAAAAGGCCACACTTGACAGCACACCATCCCAAAAGAGCATAGCATGGATCCACTTGAGTAGCAGATTGAGGCTGGGAAACACTAAAATACTAGCACACTCAAACAATTTGGCTAGGAAAAAAACCAACGTTATTCTGCCACAGCTCATCTGTAAACTCAAGCTAATTGTTTGCATAATTCAGATGGTAACAGGAACTGTACAACTGGTATTTTCCTGTGCTAATCTTGCTGCACGCAGTGTAATATTTACAGACATGAGTTCATTTTTGGCAATGCACATAGAGTTTGCACCATTAACCATTCTCGTTCCTTTCTAGTTCCCTACAGAAAGCGCTGGCACTCTCCTGCCCGGCAGTCATTTCCTACTTCCCCCAGGATACCCTCATATTTCAATTAGAAACGGTAACCTTTGTGCCCACTCCTAAAAGGCGGACTAGCATCGCTGTGCAATGTCAGCAGCTGCCACCTCCCACCCCAGAGGCAGCTGCAATTCAGCAGCGGTTTGACAGCATCAGAGGCACGCAGAGAGTAGGGATGGACACTTGCCTATCAAAACATTTCACGTGCACAAATGCATGTGTATTTGCAGCACGACAACAGGCATGGGCTGGAGGAGGTGGGAGGGAGAAAGCTAGGCCAAATGTCAGGAGGAAGACCCAGCCTTGCTAATGCCCACGAAGCTTCACAATGAAACTCGTGGGAGAAGCATTTCATGGCACAGCTCACTGCAAAGCCTCCAGTGATTCCCCAGAGCAGTCTGTAAGAAAAAAGGCCATTTTGTTTGAATTTATGGCCTCCTGGGCCACTGCAGCAGGAACGAGCTGGGGAAATAATCCTTACTGAGAAGACAGGTCTGCTTTTGGTTTCTTGGCTGGTTTTACCCATATGACCTTAAACAATTCTCATTTCCTTCCCAAGCCCCTCTTTGTCCGCACAAGCCCAGGTGATTAAACACACCAATGGTGCAAGGTATAGCACATGTGTCAAGGAGGGACGTCGTTGCCCTGTGAAACGTAGCAGGGAGCAGAAACCCCCAGGAAGAAGATGTGCCAGCCCTGTCTGAGCCCTTCTCTGCTAGCCGGGCACCGTAAGTCTGCAGGTCCGAGAGGAAAGAGGGCTACAAACATGTGAGCGAGTGCACAGCAGGGCATGCAGGCTTGGGGTTTCATGTTTTTAACATTAAACCTGTCTTGTAGGTTTTCAGGACTCCAGGGAGCTGGTCTGGACGCACTGACCACACTGCACAGGTCTGACTGCAAAACGGCATGGCTAGGGCATAGTGTCATCCACTCGGATAGACAAATGATTCACAATGTGGTTTCCAGAGTATTTTCTTGCCCTAACAATCCTGCCAGAAAAGGTCTGGGTGTCTCAGCTTGCTCACACATCCTGCTGTCACTCAACGGGTAGAAAGTCCTAAATAGAGCCGATATAACCAAGGCATTGATGAACTGTTAGTCACCATCATCAAAGAAAGCAGCAGGCAGCAGTAAATACGAGCAGGAGAGGGGCACCTGTCCACCTCTCAGGTTAATGCTTTAGCTTCTGCTTCCATACACACTGCTTTGCAATGCACAGTAAGCCTGCATAGAAAAGCCCACTAGCCGTTCACCGGGTTCCCCATAAAACGAGAGCCCCATGTTGCTCCCTACCCATCCTGTCGTGCAGGCAGGTGCTGGACTCGCTCCATGCTCTCGCTCCGGCTGGAGGCTGCTGCACCGGCACAGTGCCATCACCGGGGCTGTGCCAGGCAGCATGGGGGTTATTGCACTCCACATCCAGGTTTGCTCCCGCTCACCATTTGCACAAACATTTCTTTCTTTTCAAGTAAAAGCACAGCAGATTCAGTTTTTGGCTTTGTTTGTTTGTTTTAAATCTATCTTAGGTTGCATGCAACGTGTGTTCTCCCTCAGCAGAGAGCACTCCTTCTGCCCAATCTGTTGCAGACCCCAGTTAAACTTCCCTTGGCTCTCCTGAGGCAGAAGCTAAACAA